AAGGGTTTGATTACTTTCGTAGCAGAACAGTAACTGTGTAGTCTTCTATAAACAGTTTCATGTTCACAGGGAGATCATGTTTACCGCTGATGACTGTGCTTCTGTTACCAGAAAGAAATATGAAGTGTCTGCCCCCTATTCAGCACTGCAAATATTTCCTTGAAGCAAAAATGATCATATTTCTTAGACGATGTATAGACAACCACTTGGCCATGTTACTGATGGTTGATTCCTATTGCACTTTGTAATGGTATATTATTATAATAGTTTTTCTTTTGTTTTATTTCAAAGTTATTACAGTTTTTTGGGGGAAGAAACACATGTATTTAAAGCATGAAATGTATTCTGCATCAGGGTTCTGATAGCACTATGTTAGCAGTTGAAGTGCCGTGATTAAAATGCGCTCACCTTTTTCTTGGCTAATGGCAATTAAAAACTTGACAAAGGTTCTAATCCTCCTCCAGTCTGTCCACAAGGATTGCCACTGCCGCATCTGATTAGGAGGGGGGCATGCTGATCAGTTTTGAGCAGGTTTGGGTGACCTCGGCGAACTGGGTACACACCAAGCCCAAGTTCATCGCTAATTATGACGAGGTTCTGCTATGTGGCTCTTTAAGAATGGGAAAGGATTCTTTGTTTTTTTGATCATCTTCCAAGACAGCAGCCTTAGAAGTAGGCTTGTTATCCTGGAATATTCCTACAAATACTGTTACAGGCATGTCTTAGTGGGAATTTCCCTCTTTTATGCTTCAGGGCCCATTCATACATTGTCTATTATCCTGCAGTGGATGCATATTTTTTACTGCATTAAATTAGTAGGGCTGCAAAAACTAATCGACATAATCGATTATTGAAAAAGTTGTCAACTTTTTCAATCATCGATTAATCGGCTTCTGATTGGTTGGCCCTGTTCAGGGCTCCACACACGCTGCGTGCCACACCTCCTTCCAACCTCACGCTCGCCGCTGCCAGACCTGCCCGCATCCACGCTCCGCACCTCCTCCGCGCCTCATGCTCACCGCCCGCCCAAATCCACGATTGGCACAGGGACGCGGGGAGAAGAAGTAAGGAGGAGCAGGTGTGGTCGGATGACAGCCGCCGATAGACAGGCCGATCTCAGAAACAAGTTGCTGGAAGACTGCTCAGGTAAGCCTGCACTCCCACCCACACATGGTGGTATTCTGCATTGCGTTGTATAGAGGACTACAAATCAAGGAATACCACCAGCAATGCGGAATACCAACAGCTATAGAGTACAACAAATCCTAGCAATAGTACATTATACAGTGGTGCAATGCCGAATACCACTAGCTATAGAGACTACAAAACCCAGCAATAGTACATTATACAGCGCAATGCAGAATACCACCAGCTATAGAGGACTACAAAACCCAGTAATAGTACATTATACAGCGCAATGCAGAATACCGCCAGCTATAATGTACTATTGCTGGGATTTGTTGTATTCCTATATAGCTGGTGGTATTCTGCGTTGTGCTGTATAATGTACTATTTCTGGGTTTTGGAGTACTCTATAGCCGGTGCCATTCTGCATTCATTGCTGTATAATTTTTCACTTTTAATTTCACTATATTGTACACTACACTTTTTTTTTTTTCTTTTTTGACTTCCACCGCTCCAAGCTTGCTCCTGTGATGGACTCCAATCTCAATACAAACTAGTAGTCCCATCACTGGAGCCATTTAAAAAAATGTATTTTTATTTTAATTTTTATCCGATTTAACCGATTAATCGAACTTAATAATAATCGGCTAACTAATCGATTTTGAAAATAATCGTTAGCTGCAGCTCTATAAATTAGTAATTAGTAAATTAAATTACTGATCCCGTTTGTTACTGTGTGGTTAGTTCACATCTACCTGTTGAAGTCCAGCATGTTTTTTTTCTAAAACAGGACATACAGAATTTATGGCCATAAACATGCAATATATTTTTAAATCAAAAAGAAAGTGTTACATTTTTGTATCTCTTTATACGCCTCTTTATCTGCATGTTAAGATTTGTGACTGGCTGTTGCTTAGAAATGTTTATTATACCCTCTATGGCCATATGTTTATGGATACCTGGCTATCACACTTTCACTATGTGGTTAAAAGTATGTGGACACCTTCCAAATTATTGAGTTCAAGTATTTCCATAGAGGGGTACTATTTGTACACCTCCAACCTTTTGGCAACAGTTTTTTGGGATGGTTTCAGCATGGTTGTGCCCTGTGCACAAACCCAGGTCCATAAAGACATGATTTGACAGGTTTTATGTGGAGGAACCCAAGTGGGCTGATCAGAGCCCTGACCCTCAACCCTTCTGAACACCTTTAGGGTAAACGGAATGACGACTGTAAGGCTGGGCCTTGTTTTCAAATATCAGTAACCTCACAAATACTCTTTTGGCTAAGTGGGCAGAGTTCTTCCAGACACTTTTTCCAAAATAGTGGCAGCAGTTATAGCTGCAAAGGGATGTCCAACTCCATGGTATTGGAATGGGACAACATCATATCAGTATAATGATCAGGCGTTCACAAACCTTCGGCCAAATAGTTTACCGCTTTCTCTCTCTCTCAAAAGCTGTGTTCTGTCCTCAGACTGCAGTGCTCTGTGTTAGCATTGCTGAGTAACAGCCACACCCCTCAACACAGACTAATATTGCAGAAAAGAGGAGGGGATTTGTCTAAACTGGTCTGTCAGTTATTGAAAGCTTTCTGGTGCCTTTTGAACTACGCAGTCATATGTAGACACCCTGCACACTTGCTGTAACAGGATATTGGAGGTAAGACTAGGAAACTAGAGGTTGTTGGTACAATGTCTATTTAACTGCATATAAATTTTTTGTGTGATTTCAGTTGCGCTTTAGGCACATAGAATTAATTGGTTAACACATGTTTAAAGGAGACTTATGAGGCGAGTGATTTTCACTCAGCCTCATAATCTGAGTCGACCTGTGACAATGAAACTGTCGCAGGTCGGCTCAGTAGATCAGTAAGTGAGCGAACACATACCGGTGTTCGCTCACTTGTCGATCCTGTCGCAGCAGAGAGCCGTGACTGGGGAGGGACTGGATTCCCCCCTCCCCGATCCTCCAGCGCTGACTGGTGGAACGGACGGGGCAAGGGGCAGGTACAACTGGCTCTGCCTTTAGATAGGTTGAGCCAGCTGTCACTCACGCAGCTAGGTGGTTCCAGACACATTTGTCGGGATCTGTTCCGGCTGCGGCGTCTCAGTATACCGCGAGCTTTGGGTGACGGGAGGACGCTAGTTTTATATCTTCCCGTTACCCTTAGGAGAAAAGGCCTAACCCCATAGTTCTCCTTTTTAATGCCCTTTCAGTCAATTTGTGCCATGAATTATCTCTGTTCCTAAATATTCTCCTCCATAACAAATGCAGAAAAAACACAAAGCTAGACAGAATATCACTAGGTTGGTGGTTTTAGGATGTCACTGGATTGCAACTAAACAGACTCTAATGTATAATAAAAATGTATCTAAAATACATATTCCCAATCCATATGCATAGACATGGTAGCTTTTTGAGACATTTCTTAGACCCTAGGTCTGCTTCATCAGACAAGTATTGGAAGACATCTAGGAATGATATCAAAATCGCATTAGGATACATATAAGAAAGCAGATAAATCCTACATATAGTTATGACCACAAATAGATAATAACACAAATTTGTCACTTGCATATAGTGTATGGCTCAGGATACATATGTCCCAATGAACGGGATAATAAAAGTTGTGCCAGAGCCTGTGCCGTAATCATCTATAAAAAATTATTGGAGGTCTTAGACCAGGTTTCTTTCAAGATCATAAACCATCTTAAGGTAATGCAATTTCCTTGGTATCTAACAAGGATGTAAAGGAGTATCACTTTAGGAAAATACCATAGTACCACAAGGAGTTATAAAGCCCTTACTCAAAGATGTCCAGCCAAGTCAGCATCCACTGTATGGAATGCAAGAAAAAGATAATTGGATGTATTTAAATTATATTAAAAGAAATAGATATATCTATATAGATTCATTTATAGAGAT